GTTAGACTAAAATGCCGGCAGTTCTGACTCACGTAAGTACGTTTTCATTTGAAGGATTTGCCACTGATGATTCAAATTCGAGTTTTGGGCAGTGTAGAGTAGCGTTTGTAGTTTGTCATTTCTCCGATCACAAATCCAGACAGGGTTTTATGTTTACACGGCGCGATGCAACGCAACACGTAAAAAGACAGTACAAGTCATTGTAATCAGTAAGTATGTCCCCACTGGATGCAACAAATGCCTGGCTTGTAATGGGTTTTAATGTTTTTGTCTTGTCGCTCTGGCTGGACACGGCATCAACAGTATGGTAAGGGGCGTAACATTTCCGTCACACGCTTGAGGTATTCGGCCAATCACAACACACTGGATAGCTGGCCAATCACAGCACACCTCGCTTTTCAGACCGATGAGCTTTGTAAAAATCGATGCGTTTCAAAAAGGCGGGGCATAGAGGAGAAACAATAATGTACAGTATGTGGAAAAATGTGTTTTTTTTTTTACTTTAAACTGCATAAACACATATCATTACACCAAATACACAAAATAATGTTCTTTTTAGCAGCATCATATGACCCCTTTAAAGAAATATGAGGGCTCTCTGACCCTCCCATAGACAGCAAGGTAACTACCATGTTCAAGGTTCACGTCAAAGCTACGAGAATACTTTTTGCGCAAAGAAAATAACAAAAATAATGACTTTATTCCACATTTTCGTCTCTACTGCATCACTTTGGACGCGCGTTCACAACCGTACCATGACGCGAGCATGTGGTGGTGCCAGCGCTGACCCAGAAAAAGTATTCCCGTAGCTTCGTAACTTTACAGTTGAACCACTGATGTCACACGGACTACTTTGCCGATCATCTTGGTACTGAGGGTGAGGAATTAATGACAACATTTTCATTTTTGGGTGAATTATCCCTTTAAATTAAATACAATTCTAACAATTAAAAAATATATATATTTTTAATTTTATTAATAACTCGAAAAAAATATTGTGTGCTTGTTAAAAAAATCAGTCTAGATAACATTATTTATGTTTGTCTTTATGAATAAGATATTTAGCTTCAGGCACATTACTGGTAAAAACCTAGAAGAAATGGCTCTTTTTCAATGTATAATAAAATTCTTCTCTGCTCTCTATTACATCCAGGAGATTACATGCCTCATTGCTCCCGTCCTCCATCACAGACTGAACAGAGCATATGCAGGGAGTTGCGCTGTGTTTACCACAACCACGCGGTCTCTCCGTTATAGAAGAACACTGTGATGACAGGTATTCCAGTCCTTGATTTTGAGCCCCGTTACGACATCTCTCCTCCCTTCTCCACCCACCTGCTTCCTTGACTTAATGTGGCCTTAATGTGGCCGTCATGGTGACTGTCTAGGGCAGATGAGAGCTAATTGAAATGGAAGGCTGCTTCTCACTGATCTAGACTGACAGCACCCCCTCGCCAGAAGTGACTGTGCCACCCCAAGCTGGCAGTTTTCACAGTGAAAGAAAAGTGTGCGGTGGTGAAAAAGGCAGGCTGTGCTGCGAGTACTTGGGCTGCCTGCCAAAGCCGCCGGATGAGTTTATTAGAAACAAGAAGAGAGATGCATATATTTCCATTTTGTACCCTCAAAGAATAAGAGCAAGGTTTTGAGCAACATGCTGCACTAACCCTTCCGACTTAATATCAGAGATCACAATGAACACAATGAGCCGGCTCAGGGATGGAGCGAAGAGCGCAGCACATAGTCTAAATAATTTCACACGCCGGGCATGTCAGTTTTGATGTAATGAGCTCTGATTTTTACATCCAGCACTGTGCAGATAGGTTAATCATTTTCATTAACACCACCTCTTCTGAGAGACCTCTTCCTCTCCAGTGCTGTCAGTGGTACGTTGGCTTGGCGAGCGCTCAGACCCCTGCGCCCCTCAGATGTGTTAGTCTTGTGCCAGAAAAGACTGTATTGATGCTCAGACAGGCAAGCACCCCTCAGCGGGCCCTGAGTAGACGACTGTGATTACTGCTGACAATAATTTATGGGCCTGGCTGATTGAAAACATGAGAGATGTACAGTAGTTAGAGTTGCAAGGGTGATTAGGCACCACCTTAAGATACAAAGATGGTGTCACAGCTGCTGCTGGGAGAAAGTCTGCAGCCGTTCGCCGCATGCCTTCTACCCTGCAGTAAAAACCAGGATTACACCCCACGCCTGTTCCCCCTGCCAGCCCATACACATGCACATAGAACCGATAATATTGCATTGAATTGTTCTTGTGCATCGTTTCTTATTCTGGCTTTTAACATTAGAGTCAAAGTTTCATCTGTGGAGTGGATGAGAGTAGATAACGTGCATTTATTCCTATTGTTTTGAGGAAATCATTCATAGTCAGTGTTTTGCTGTAAACTGTGAGCTCTTCATCATAATCCACAATCCTCAACACTTCAGATCTGCTTTCAGTAACACCTCCATCCTTTACATATTCATCTGGTCTTTCTCTCCCCAGAGGGAGAATTACCGTGGCTGTAGAACAATGCCTGCACATCTAATATCATATCGACTGTCGGATATCAGAAATGTTTTTCAATGAATTTAGGTTGCATTGTAGAAAGGTAATAAATCATTGTCAACATGTTTTTTCTGTATTGAGGTTTGATTTAAATATCTGCAGTACAATATATAGTAGTACTATATAATTTTTTAGACTTAACTTAGTAGACGTAATTCACACAACATTCCCTTTTTAGTAAATCGAAAAAAAATAGCAAGATATTAGAAACTACATGCAACATAGAAGTAGTTACACATCTTGTTTCCTGTATTATGTACATCTGAGATTATTGAAAAAAAATGTAGGACTGGGACTTATTCCTAAACATTGGTTGTTTATTGGATGGAGGCAGATCTGAATGCGAGCTTACAGCAGAAGGGATGAAAGGGGTGAAAAAAGGGATGGGGTTTATGATGACAAAATAACTGGACATATGTCACCAGATAGTATTTTCACCAAAAGAGTGAGTTATTAGTTTTGAAACTTTGTTTAAAAATTACGAGGTCAATAAATAAACATGCACAGAGGAATCGCTCACAAAAAGATCAATAACATGTATGTAGAAAACAGATGGGTGAATTTCTGTTTCATTCCAGCTTAAAAATGATCACAGTTTGTTTCTTGCTAAGGCATTTTAAACAAAATATCTTAAATTCAAATTTCAGTTCCATTTCAGGAGTAGTGAAACTTCATCTACATAACTTTTAACCCCTTATGAAGCATTTTCCCCATTTTGACAAAGGGACTTAAGACACCCAAAATTAAAAAAATGTTGCTGCTTATTAAACTAGATATATAACCAACATACATTTATAAAGCTGACACATGAAAGTTTACTGTTCAATAAATATTTAGACTGTTATGAAAATTGACATATATAAGATTAAAAATATATATATATATATATTAGGAATATATATTTTAAAAGTGTCTGAGGTGAATGATTTTAGAAACACAATGAAGCTGAATCTTAAGGCTGCCCATGCTTCATTTAAAATCTGCGGATGTTATCTCTAAAACTATGCACTTTATTAAACATTTTCTTAGACCATGTCATGCGTGTTTTTAGAGAAGGCTAATTCTTTGAAAGTTTGTAACGTCAGTGACACATCGAAATGTGTTAACCAGAGCTGCTAGTAAAGTATGCATTATGGAAAAAGGAAATATGATATAGATGATAAAGAGAATATGTTGTGTATGTTTAGGTGTGACAGTTTAATCAAGTGTTAAATTCATAAAGCTGTTCATAAATCATGAAGCTTTCCAGCTAAAATCATTAGTGACTGCCATTATAACCAACTGTAAGTAATATGTGCATGTTTGTTTGCTAAATTGAGCTGAATGAATCTAGTATTGGAGCCTCTGGGGGGTTTTGTATCCGCTTTTTTGCTGGTCACAAAGTACAGTTATCATCACAAATACGGTCAAGGTAGGTCTAGATGACAAAGTAAACTGTAAATTCCACCACATTCAATTTGTACAGCTGCAAAGCAGTTTCAGCGCAGTTCTTTATCATGCTCAGAGTATTGTTGCCCTGAAAAGTTTTCATGAAAACAAATGGTACGTAATTGGGTCATTCATAAGGGCTATTCCCAAGGTGTTGGCAAGGGATGAGAGATGGTCCATGTACAAATCCCTCTTTATGGTGAAACTCTCTGGTGGCTTGGGGCAAAATCACCCATTGCAAACCCCCTCCCTTTTTGTGCACACAATGGATTGCATTAAGCTTGTACAGTAAAAAACATCATCAATGTCCCCTTTATGCACCAGCATGGAAATCAGATCATGTGATCAGCTGCATGAAGTAAAATTACTGCTGTGAGGATTATACTAAACTAGTTACCACCAGATAAAGGATAATAAATTAAGTAAGGAAGCCATGTTGAACTTTTGTACCGAGCCTTTAAACTAGCTCCCCCCGATTACCACAGGTAATACCACGTCCTTGTAGACCTGAAGATGTAGCCCCCTTCTCTTCCTTGAATACCTGCAGGATTTACGTCCCCTAATCTCCCATGATTAGCCTTTGCCACTGGGTCCAGGTCATTAATCCCGTCCCCTACAGTGAGTGACAATAATCTCTGCTCACTGGGCTGGGGAGCCGGCTCCATTTCTCACTCTGTCACCCATTGGCTCTCACATGGGAGAGGACAAGGACCATTTATCTATAGAATGTGCTGCAGAAACGGCAGGGCTGGCAAATAAAAAAAAAAAACTCCATCCTTCTCTAGGCATTTTTTTTTTCAAACCAAGGCTGCAAAGTCTTTGTGATCATTGTCATCAATGAGAACTTCTTGTATTTTTGTGTGATACACTTTGGTCAAGCGTTTTAAGTATTGTGCCATTAGCATCTCCAAACAGAACAGCAAAAATAATGATTTCTGTACATTTCATTGGTCGAACAAACAGATACCACCCCAACCTGGCCCCATAGACAGGGTCAACAAACCATTTAAACACTGAGGACTTTTAGGGGAAAATGAATCCCTTTTACCATAGTTACCCATTCAATCCTTTGAGGAAAAAGAGGTGAAGAGGTACATATACATACTGAAAAACATATGGAAAAACTGTTCTGTAGGTATTCACACTTCAAACCGTTATTTTTATTTTTAGCAAATTGAAGGGGAAAAAAATACCAAAACAGAAAAAAAGCTTTCATGCAACGTTTTGTTGTAAAAATATGCACATTTATGTGATATTTCTCCTCATTTCCAAAGAGAAATTAATGGGTAAGAATTAGGGGTGTTCCGATCCATCGGCTACCAATCACTATCGGCCGATAATCACGCTGGGATGATCGATCGGCGATCTCTAAAAGGCCGATCTCAAGCTGATGACGCGCCTGCCGTAAGAGGTTTGGCATGACATGCAGCGGCACCGTCTCACCGGGAACCGCGTAACCCGACCGGATTTTTGCGCGGGATTAAATTCCCGAATAAAACGCGGGAGCGTTCGGTAACAATATCCTGTTCCCGACGTCCATTTAGAACAGCATATCTGCGATTTATTCTTATTGACCACCGGTACAGCTTGCGCTCAGGACTCTTATGCACGCACTGCACACATGCTTTAAAGTCATGCGTTTTATTTGCGGGGTCAGTGCGCAGCATGTGCATAACGATGCTCAGAGCAGGCTGTACCTGTGGTAAATATACGGCCCTCAGACAGAACAGGCAGGTTGTCGATGAGTGACAGAGCAGAATAAGGATGGCGCAAAGTGTGGATGCGCTGTCCTTGAAGGACGTTAAACACGGTTTTGTTTATATTTTGCTTAGCCTATAATTTTAAATGAAAGATGTCGTATTTATTTATTTTTCTCTGCGACACTTTTCCTACTGTGTTAACAGAAAAATATCAAACGAATTTAGTATTTTGACAAGACGAATAGAAATGGCTAATGGGCTATTTTTGTACAACCTACATATTTTTGTTTTCTCTGCCATACTTTTTTTCCTATTGTGTTGTCAATGTTAAACGAATTGTATCCTGACAAGACGAATAAAAATAAGAAATAAAATTTTTGTACAACATTTTTTATTTTCTGACACTTTTTTTTCCTACTGTGTTGCATAAAATATTAAACTAATTTTGTGTCTTAAGATAATTCATATAAATTCAATGACCTGCAACTGAAAAAAGCTTTCATGCAACGTTTTGTTGTAAAAATATGCACATTTATGTGATATTTCTCCTCATTTCCAAAGAGAAATTAATGGGTAAGAATTAGGGGTGTTCCGATCCATCGGCTACCAATCACTATCGGCCGATAATCACGCTGG